ATCTATCTATCTATCTATCTATCTATCTATCTATCTATCTATCTATCTATCTATCTATCTATCTATCTATCTATCGTCTGTCCTTCCGTCCGTCCATCTATCACACCCTTCTTCTAATGCCAGTAATAGTCGGTTTATTTTCACCTCATATTTTGTGGCTTTAGTTGCATCATCTTAATGCACTAAATGATGTGAAACCATTTTTTTTTTTTCACGGAACAGTCTACAGTTTTGTTTGAAGAGGTTAAGCATTGCTAATGATCAGGTTTTCTAACAGAAAATGCACAAACACATAATTTCTTTGTTTTACTGTTGTTTATTTATCACAATTCTCAAACACATTTAACATTTGAAGACATTTTTATTTAATCAAGCTTTATGTGCCATAAAACATGACATTATTATATATTATATATCGGCTTATATGGACATAATAATGCTTCTTTAAATAATACATAATGTGCAATAAAGCATGTTTGCTGGTCCTTTTGAGTTCATTCTCTACATGTAAAAACTGCAGTTGTGTAAAACATAGAACTTGAACTTCAATAGATCGAGTTGCCAGAAATTGTGACTTTGAAAAGTGAATTTTAATCAGCCTATAAGGCTTAGGCTGTTTTGATTTCTTTCATATTGCAGTTAGGCCTGTTTGTAAGTCTCTGTGTGTATGTGGACTCCATGCATACTTTTAACACAAGGAAATTTTGTACACATTTTCTTTAGGCATAATGTGATTTTATGGTTCCATTACATTGGAATATTGTTGTATGGCCAAAGTAAATTATGCCATAGGTTTTTGTGAAATGCCATCACATAACAACGACAACATGACCGACGCTGTACATTCAGATTACATGAACACACTTTTCTAACAGTCATGAAGTAAGCTATAAATAATGTAGTACCTACTTAGACAATCCTGTACTAGGAAGGACTGGAGCCTGCAAATGAAAGAGCCAGTCCTTGTTTAGTACCACGTCTAGCTTTTATTCACCTTACTTTGCAGCACAGAAGTGGTTTTCTGAGTGCGTGAGACTTTTAGGTGAATAACTAGACGAATATCAAAGTGCAATAAACTGTACAAACCAGTGTGTTTATACAGTAATTACAGCAATACATTGAAATAATGTAAGACATGCCCATTTGCAGTATAAAGCAGAATGCAGTATCTGCTATGGATAACTGAAAGCGATTGAAACCGTAGGCCTTGTCCATTGAAGTTACAACAGCCGGGCCGGTTATACAATGCAGAAAAGGTTAATAACACAGCCAAATTTGGCAATGTTTTGACCTGTTATGAAATATCACTTAAATTATTCAGTGTAATTATATTATGTTCAGTATAAAAACCTTAAATAATATAAAACATCAAACACACTGCAGAACGTTATAGTGAAATGCTCAAAACCCAAACTATTTCACATGAATTATTCCAAATGGAATAATACGTGCTGTACACTATAATAAATAATTATATTACAATGTGCAAAACAGCAGCATCCGATAAGTTTAATGTTGTGCCCTGAAACACTAACATTGTGCACTGAACGTTACATGACTCTGAACACGTCTTGTGTCATCAGTTCTTGTCAGTTCAGTTTTTCAGCTGTAGAGGATATTGAGAGATCAGTCACAGTTTAGCATCAATTTGCTGTTCAGCTCATGATGAATAAACCTCAGCAGTGCAAGTGGATTTAAACAGAGTTTCTCTCACCTCTGACTGTCACTGTGATCAAGATTTCTCCTTCAGGGTCCAGAACTCTGTATGATCCTGCATCTCTGGGTGTAAACTCATTAATGATCAGGTTTCTATCTCTGATGGTGATTAGTTCGCTCTGAACTCCATCAGTTCTGCTCCAATCATCTCTCCAACCTGTGCTTCTTCTGCTCTGATGCTGCACTTTATCAGCGTTTGACAACAGAACATCCAACTTCAGCTCCTCACCTGTTTTCACAGAAATCTCATCTGAGAAGAAACACAAAGACATTAATCATTATTATAATCAATTGAAGCCATAAGAAAATATTTAGGACTAGAGGGACAAATATAATCATTTGTGAGCCTGGAGCACAAAAGCCGTCTTAAGTCGCTGGGGTATATTTGTAGCAATAGCCAACAATACATTGTATGGGTCAAAATTATAGATTTTTCTTTTATGCCAAAAATCATTAGGATATTAAGTAAAGATCATGATCCATGAAGATATTCTGTAAATTTCCTACCGTAAATATATCAAAACTTAATGTTTGATTAGTAATATGCATTGCTATTTGGACAACTTTAAAGATGATTTTCTCAATATTTAGATTTTTTTGCACCCTCAGATTCCAGATTTTCAAATATTGTCCTATCATAACAAACCATGCATCAATGGAAATATTATTTATTCAGCTTTCAGATGATGCATAAATCTCAATTTAGAAACATTGACCCTTATGACTGGTTTTGTGTTCCAGGGTCACATTTTAAAATCAGCGATAGGAAAACCCATATCCATTCAGGGTCTCTTAGATGCAACATCAACACAATTACTCAAAGAAAACCAGAAAGCATGCTGATAATTTGACCAGTTTTGACGTTACCAGCGACACAAAGTTGGTACGTCCTGATTTGTTGCTCCAGCTCTGCCTGATCATTGCGATAATAGACTCTCAAATTGTACATCCCAGCATCACTGAAGCTCAGATTCTTGATGACGACGTCACAGGCTCCTTTCTTACACACTCTGCAACTACACTCTTCAGTCTGACAGACGGGGATGTTTTCTGACCCACTCAAATCAATTTCAGGAATCTCACTGCCATCATATTGACATGGCAGTGTGATGTTGCCTCCTTTTATCCCTACCTTAAGTGTTGGGGAGGTTTCTGCAAAAAAAAAAAAAAAGAGTATAATATGCATTCAGTACTGAAAAGTACATGTGGTCTTTCTCTCTATTCTCTGCAATCGTCATCATAAAATGTGATCCTGGAGCACAAAACCAGTCATAAGGGTCAATTTTACGAAATTGAGATTTATGCATCATCTTAAAGCTGAATAAATAATCCAAATATACCCCAGCGACTTAAGACTTAAGTTTTGTGCTCCAGGGTCACATATGTTCTAGCAGAGCTATTTTAGTCATCTGGATTAAGAAATATATAAATAAAGGCATTCAGGAGCCAACAATATTAGTAGTGCCATGTTTTGACATTACAGATGTTGATGACAGTGGGATAAAGCTGTAGCAGATGTACAAGTGCAGTTGTAGTGAGTTCCTGTGAATAAATAGTGTGTGATGACAATATGCTAAAGAATGTCAAACAAAGTCACTTCACCGAGTGATGCAACAAAGAAACAATCAACTAGAACAAGAATGGTTATAATTTGTCAACAAGAATGACTGTATACTGACCGCTGTTTTTGAAAAGGCAGAAAAGCAGCAGAATTCGCAAGCAGTTGAACCTGTGGAGAACACAGAGGAGCTGCTTTATGTGACAGATACAGGTCAATGCTTTCCTGAGACTAATAACTTTCACTTTATTGTAAGGGCAAAAAGGGCATGTGCTCTGCACAGGTTGAGCCCTACCTGTGCACGTGCCTGCTTTATCTGAATGTTTGACACATGTTGATCCATGCATGATAAAAGTTGTTTAGCATTGAAAAGAATGTGTTACGCTGACGTGTTTGTGGTTACAGGAGCTTGTGATTACGTCGTGGGTGGATGCATGAACTGTTGCTTTTACTGAGCACTAATGCCGTCATTTGTGACTTGTTTATTATATTTGCATGCTAAAAGAGTTACGTTTAACGTGAACAAGTGCTATGCTGGCTATTGATATTAACTGAAGAGGATAAATGATTAAAAATACATGTAAAATAATTAATTAATAATTGAAATAATAAGAAAATAAATTAATTATAGGACTGGTACAACATTTACACAGACTACATATGTTCTCTTTAGCATAATAACCACAAAAAAACGCCATCATAACTTCTATAAACTCTTAAACATCACTTAAAGTAGTTTGATTAGTAACAGCACTGGTCCGATCAACAAATCACAGAATACATCAAATTAAATGGAAAATTAAGATGAATTTTACTCATCAGGATACAATTAAGCTAATTTAAGTTCAAATGAATATATTCACCTCTGTGGAAATGTCATAATTTTATTAAATTAGACCAACAAGAATTAAAATGATCCGTCAAAGCAAAGTATTATTTAATAACCCCACACTGTAAGAAATTATTTTAATGATTTATCACAGCTTTTTTTGTTTTTGTCAAATTAACTTTCCGATGGGAGTTTCTATTGATCAAACCAGTCTTTTTCTTTGTGTTAATTTTAAGGCAGCAAGATGACCTACTTTAAGATAAACCAACAATAATCTTCACAGTGCACTAATAAACAGCATCATAATCATCATAATTGCAGTAATAAATAAATTAAGCATAAACACACTGACTCCTTTCCACATCACTTACAGGTTTAGTTTTCCAGAGAAACAAAATTGGTATAGAACACAAAAACAACTTTATATTTAAGCTTTATATTTATATTCAAATGTTTATAGCCTATTGAGAAGCATGCAAACTTACATGGCTCTGTAAGAGTCTTCTCTTTAAATGTCAGCTGTTTGTAAGCCACAGCATATATAGTGAGACTAACTACACATTTAAGTAGAAACAAAACTAAAAGTATCACACACACACACGCACACACACACACACACACACACTCTCTCTCACACACACACACACGCGCACACACACACACACGCACGCGCACACACACACACACGCACGCGCACACACACACACACGCACGCGCACACACACACACACGCACGCGCACACACACACACACGCACGCGCACACACACACACACGCACGCGCACACACACACACACGCACGCGCACACACACACACACGCACGCGCACACACACACACACGCACGCGCACACACACACACACGCACGCGCACACACACACACACGCACGCGCACACACACACACACGCACGCGCACACACACACACACGCACGCGCACACACACACACACGCACGCGCACACACACACACACGCACGCGCACACACACACACACGCACGCGCACACACACACACACGCACGCGCACACACACACACACGCACGCGCACACACACACACACGCACGCGCACACACACACACACGCACGCGCACACACACACACACGCACGCGCACACACACACACACGCACGCGCACACACACACACACGCACGCGCACACACACACACACGCACGCGCACACACACACACACGCACGCGCACACACACACACACGCACGCGCACACACACACACACGCACGCGCACACACACACACACGCACGCGCACACACACACACACGCACGCGCACACACACACACACGCACGCGCACACACACACACACGCACGCGCACACACACACACACGCACGCGCACACACACACACACGCACGCGCACACACACACACACGCACGCGCACACACACACACACGCACGCGCACACACACACACACGCACGCGCACACACACACACACGCACGCGCACACACACACACACGCACGCGCACACACACACACACGCACGCGCACACACACACACACGCACGCGCACACACACACACACGCACGCGCACACACACACACACGCACGCGCACACACACACACACGCACGCGCACACACACACACACGCACGCGCACACACACACACACGCACGCGCACACACACACACACGCACGCGCACACACACACACACGCACGCGCACACACACACACACGCACGCGCACACACACACACACGCACGCGCACACACACACACACGCACGCGCACACACACACACACGCACGCGCACACACACACACACGCACGCGCACACACACACACACGCACGCGCACACACACACACACGCACGCGCACACACACACACACGCACGCGCACACACACACACACGCACGCGCACACACACACACACGCACGCGCACACACACACACACGCACGCGCACACACACACACACACACACACACACACACACACACAGGTGAGTGTGTTGACAGTCTGGGAATATTTGGTCATTATAGTCCTCTACTGGAGGTTCATTCAAAGCAGATTGAGCTGTCAGAAGATCAACGTAATATTGTATGATGTTCAGCGACTGACATAATCTTGTGAATTATTTATTTAATAAGCCACAAATGCATTTAATAATTAACTTATTGAACACGCTGGCTTTTATTTTGAAGGAAACACCTGTTTCCATGATCACGTGATTTGATGGGCGGTGTGCTGAACGGGTCACGTGACTGATGTGATGCAGCAGCCGCGTGTGTAGAGTTTAAAACATGTCGATGTTTATACTCTATCATCAGACCACACAGCAGAGATACACTGAAACGCAAAGTCTTCCTCTTTCGTTCCAGAGCAATGAAAAGCATTGAAGAATAGTCTCTATATCAGTGCAAGTGTTGCTACACACTTGATTTACTGCATCAAACCATATGTGCAACACGTGCAACATATTATGATGGGAGATTTCTACCATAGGACTGTAATAATGAACTTTAAACAACGCTTAACTCAACACAGATGCTGCAGTAACGCGTTATGACCACCAGGTGGAAATGTTTCATTATTTTGAATTTTGTGCTAAATGAATTAAATAAGCCAATTTAATACTCGTAATAATATATTGAACAATGCATAATTCTGTAAATATATTACAGTGTAGCTGTAAATACAGTTGAGGTCATTTTGCAGAATCTGCAAAATGTTAATTATTTCCCCGGTAATTCTGATAAGCTGTCGGACACGGGCCGGGCTAGGGCCTGAACGTCTCGGGCCAGGGCAGGGCTAGGGCCTAAATTTGAGGCTCGTTCAGGGCTCTAGCAGACGGAGTACATGTAAATTTGGCGCAACAAATCCCAATAACTTTATACACACTGCACTTTCAGATTTAACACTGTGCAGGATTTCTGTCAGACTGAGAATCGCCCCGAGTGCTCTCATATACATTCGGTTTTGGTTTACTTAGATCTCGCTAAACGTGCAGTGGTTTACGAATTTTAGGCACATATAAAAGCAAGAGTCATGCAGAACGTTTACAATGTAAGTTTTGATACTTTTTAAAGATAAGCTTGTGAGTTTCTGTGTTATTATACCAATAGTTGTGTTTATTTGTGAAAAAGGGTTGCCTGCTAACCTGCTAATGATGCTAAGGAAATGTTAACATGTTTACCATTATTATGATGATGAACAAAGATTATCTTGATGGCTTTTATTGGTGGAATTATTAATTGTTTTACACTGATCAAATTATTTCTTGGTAGTAGGTTACTTAATTTCTAGAAATGTCCTTTGGGAATTTGGGGTTGAGGGATCATGTTGAGTCGATTACACTGAACATCTATAAAATATATTTAGAAAATGATAACATTTATAAATCTTAACATTCAGATTATAGTTTAATGTTTCTTATTGGACTGTTTTCATGTAAGATCCACTTGTGTGTTAAATCTTCAAATAAAAATGAAAGTGAAGGTTTAGAGTCGGCAGTATTGCAGTTAATTTCCACTCAGCAAAACATTTTGTTCCTGTATTAATGTGTGATGTGTGTCTGTATCTGTCACATAACTGCTCTTCTGTATTCTCATCAGGTTCAGATGCTTCAATCTGCTGCTGCTGTTTGGCCTTGTCTTTCATAGCAGTCAGTATCATCTTGTTCCTAAATTGTGTCCATTTCTTGTAGTCAGTTGTTTCTCTGTTGCAGCAGTCAGTCTGATTTTGTTGACATTTGTGGATTGATTGATTTAAATTTCCCAGCATATTACGTCATGACATCACTGATTAATCTTTGTAGTTTATTCCAGTTCATTTATTTTAATAAACTTTTCACAAATCACTACAGCTGCACTGACACAGGTGCTACTGTATAATACTGTAATCAACACTAAAAATTTTTAAATGTGCCACTGCTGATTGCCTTCATTTATATGTATTTTTATTCTAGTTGACTAAAATAGCTTTACTAGAATATTTTATGATGAGCTTGATTACAGAGAACAAACAGAAACACCACATTTATTTTTCAGTACTGATGCTTTGTATTGAATTAATTTTTACTGTCTGTATTTGCAGGAAGCCCCTCGATACCTGTGACAGGAATAAAGGGAGGAAACGTCACGCTGACATGTGAACTTGAGGCCAATAAGATTGTTCTCATTGAGTTATTCAGTGAGTCAGAAGACATTGATGTTTGTCAGACTGAAGAATGTAGTGGACGAGTATTTAAAAAAGCAGCATGTGATGTCGTCATCAAGAATCTTAGTTTCAGTGATGCTGGGAAATACACTTTGAGAGTCCATTACAATAATGATCAGTCAAAGGTGGCACAACAAAAGGAGTGGACTTACCAACTTCATATTACTGGTAAATTCATAACTGATCAAACCATTTTTTTAATACATTTGGTCCCCAGTTTTAAATATATGCTTGTGGCCTTGATTGATTGAGAGCATTATAATAATGATTAATGTCTCTGTGTTTCTCCTCAGATGATATTACTGTGGAAATAGGCAAACCACTAAAGATGAATGTTCTGATGTTCAATGCTCATAAAGTGGAGAAAAACTCCAGTGAAGGGTGGAAGGAGGTGTGGAAGAGAGGCCACGGAGTCTGGAGTAATCGAATGACTGACAGTGATGAAAACCTGATCATTAATATGTTTATGGACACTGATGCAGGAACATACAGAGTTCTGGATGCTGAAGGAGAAATCTTGATCACAGTGACTGTCACAGGTGAGAGAAGCTCAGTGGATATGTGGAAACATTATTTATAAAGCATTTGGACAGCTGACGTTTATTCATCATGTTTTGAACATCAACATTAACATTGATGCTCAACTGTGTGACTGATCTTTCAATATCCTGTACAGAATCAGGTACAGAATCAACGGGAAAACTGGATAACACAGATAAAGACAAAACTGACGACACTGAACAACCCAGTAAGTAAAACAGGAGGCACTGAGAGCTTTACAAAAAAATTAAGCAGTGAGTTTAAAAAAACAAAAAAAAACAAAAAAAAAAACAGAACATTTAAAAAAAATTGTGCTCTCTTCCCATCTTCCCTTTTTCCATCTGTAGAGCACTGGATTGTACCAGTTGGAGTGTGTTGTGGGATTCTGGTTCTGGCTGTGATTGCTGTCATCATATGGCAATGTTGGCCCAGAAGTTACATGCAGGCTCCAGTACAGGAGAATCCAGATCCCCCAGAGGCATTGGGGAACCTATAACGATCTTAACTGAACGTGATTAAAATGCACAAGAGCCCTGAACACCTGACGCCACTGGTTACTTGTTACTTGCCTTCGACACCAACAGGATGCTGTCAACATATACCTGCAGCTGGGGGTGTGTGATATGTATCAATATCATAAGATATTCTAGTAATTGTTGTTTTAATGTGCAAGCTGACATTATTATGTCACTTCGCAAAGGCAAAACAAGCCTTTACTGCAAAAAATAAATAGTTGAGAAAATAAAAAATAAATAATGCAACTTGATGCAGTAAGACTTTTGAGTTTTCTCAACACTAGTTTTTTAGTTCTTCTTAGTAAAGATACTTTGTTTAGCCAACGTAAATGTTTTACATTTTATAGTTGTATTTTGCTGATAAAAATATTCACAGCACAGCAATTGAAACAACAATTACTGTTGTTGAGGTTTTTTTCTGTTTCCTGAATGAAAAAAAAAATTGTAAAATGTCTCCACTTTATTTTTATGTCTATTAATGAATGACAAACATGGACTTATACCTTTATCAGTATATTTCATAAGCAATATGAGAACATAGTGAAATGTTATAAAACCTTAAAGGGTTAGTTCCTTTGTTCATCTTCAGAACACAAATTAAGATATTTTTGATGGAATCTGAGAGCTGTCTGACCCTCCATAGACAGCAACGCAACTGAAATGTTCCCACATGAATCCATGTGACATCAGTGGTTCATCCACAATATTACGAAGCTACTTTTTCTTTTGCGCACAAAAAGTATTCTCGTAGCTTCGTATAATTGTGGATGAACGACTGATGTCACATGGATTAATTCACAGATCTCCTTGCTACGCTTCTGGACTTGGGAACATTTCAGTTGCGTTGCTGTCTATGGAGGGTCAGACAGCTCTCAGATTCCATCAAAAATATCTTAATTTGTGTTCCAAAGATGAACGAAGGTCTCACAGGTTTGAAACGACATGAGGGTGAGTAATTAATGACAGAATTTTCATTTTTGGGTGAACTATCCCTTTAACGGACAACTTAGCAGACAACACTATCTTTGTTTGTAAAGCATCCTACAAAACTAAGATATCCAGGATATAGATTTAAGATGTTGAACAGCCTCAATACTTGACACACAAAAACCTCAAGAACAGTGGCAATCAACAAATAACTAACAATAATGACAAAACTACATTTCTTAGTATTTTGAGACTCAAAAGGTTTTGTAAACTGGAAAATATGCAGGTGCTTTTTTACAGAGAGTGCACAAATTCATCTGTGATGATGAAGTCTAGCAGAATGCAGTTAGAATGATAGGGAAATCATCATAGGATAAAGGTGATCAACTGTATGTTGGTTTGCACTGACCGTTCCTTCTAAGGCCAAAAGAATATGACCCTCACAGCATAACAGAGCAACTGGATCCCCTTATTTTACTGTAATTTGTCACCCGTTGCTATGTATGTTTTGCACAAGTCTGTATACATTTGTGTCAACACAAGGAAGAGGACACACAAAGTTGAGCCTGTGTTCTGCCATGTTTCCTTTCCTTTAACATCTTAAAGAGTTGTTGTTGTTGTTTTTTTCTTGCTGCTGTTATCTTCTGCCTACTATGGGATTTTAAGGTACTATTCTTTTTAAAGCTGCATTAAAACTATATAATGAGAAAAACACTGTAAATTTTTTTTTAAGTTAAATCCACTTTTGATAAAGTAATATTTCTATTGTTTTTAATTATGTATTTTAAAATTAAAATCTGGCAATTTTATAGTTTTGTAACGTGTGTGTTAACTTAAAAATCTAGAAGCAGCACAATGTTTGGTGGACTTTACACTGTTTTGTTCATTATATACTGTACCAAATTAATTATAGATATGTTTTATTACCTCACTGTGACTGTCACATTTTTCATCATCAAATATGTGCAAATGAGAGCAGTCATGTCTTGTGAGTACGGCGATTTTCAGTTTTCCTCTGTTTGTGACTCCATTGAAGGAATTTACAAATCGAGTTCTGTTTCACAACAGTAATCCCTTTAAAATGACATGTGAATTAAATGCGAGGCAATATGCTTTATCATTACCATATAACACTGCCTTACAGTATCTGGTGCATAGTCAATGTTTTATTTTTTATTTCTTTTTTTATTGATTTATATTATCTTTTTCTTTCCTTTCGGTTGTATTCCACTCATGTTTAACATTGATTTGTTCAGGATATAAGAGGGAAAATTAAGATTTTCTATACTATATATGGGTCTGTATATTTAAACATATATTAATAAAATTATTATTATTATTTTTTTTTTTTTACTGTTTTGAGAATCTTTCCTTTGATCACCAATGGTTTTGAAAGCTAAAATGACTGAGACCTTTAAAAAATTACTTCCTCTTTCCTCTAAAAAAAATAATCAGAAAATGTGCTCTGTTATGAAAGTTTAGCCAGAATACTTAAACATTGTGCATTAATATGAGTCTGATATAGATCTGCTGTCTGTGTGAAGTTAATACACTATTTCAACTCATGACATGTAAACCAAGAAGAGACATGACTTGTATTTGTACATTTTTGCAAAGCACTTTTTAAGTAATATGATGAACAATAATAATTAATCAAAATCACATCCCAGATGCTGTTCATGGGGCTTACAGTATGAAACCTAGAATATTGATGTCTGGACTCACAAATCAACTGTTCGCCAAGTGTCTTTGCAAGCTAATAGATCACATCCAGTATTAAAAACTACACTGGAAAACCATGTTGATTTTTAATACATCTTTGCACACTTTGTTTTGATGTTGTAAATCAAATTGGGTATGCAACACTTGAACTGATAGGAAGACTATTATTTTTGGAAGTGGAAAGAAATTGTGGTTTAGCGTCTCTGCATTGTTGTCTGATTACAAAAAATAAACATCAACATGTTTTAAACTCTGCAAAATAACAAAATGACATTTCTGTTGTATTACAGTTTCACATCAGTCACATGACCCGTTCAGCTCTAACGGCTGATCTGAGATCAGATTTAACTCCCCATCAAATCACATGATCATGAATCTGTTAGAGAAACAAATGTTTCCTTCAAAATAAAAGTAATGTGTTTAAAGGTCCCATGGCATGAAAATTTCACTTTATGAGGTTTTTTAACATTAATATGAGTTCCCCTAGCCTGCCTATGGTCCCCCAGTGGCTAGAAATGGCGATAGGTGTAAACCGAGCCCTGGGTATCCTGCTTCACCTTTGAGAAAATGAAAGCTCAGATGGCCCAATCTGGAACCTTCCCTTTATGTTGTCATATGGGGAAAGGTTACCTCCCCTTTCTCTGCTTTGCCCGCCCAGAGAATTTGGCCCGCCCATGAGAAAATGAGCTACTACCGTGCGAGGCGAGCGCAATATTTTTTTTTCCTCGAGAGACATCATGGCTTGCAAACGAG